TGGGCACCATGCCCACACGGCGTCCGTACTCGTGGAAAAAAAAGAGGGAGCGAACATGCAGTCATTTCGAAAACAAAAAATACTCAGACAACAAGAAGCAGGGTGGTTAAGGCCACCCATCTCATGAAAGAGTCCAAGTTACTAGAAGATGGTAACTGTGTGCGGAGACTCCTACTAGAGACCGCCCTACTGCCACCGCCCACAAGGTGACAGGAAGACCCCGCTGCAGACGAGGAGCTTCCCTCTCCTGGAGGAGGGACGGTACGGCGAGCTTTATTGCGCGGATCGGAGTCTTCCTGACTGTAGCCCATTTGGTCCCTAAGTGCCTGCTTGTAGCCTGCGAGCTGCCTCCTAAACGTGGGGTTTCCAGTGAGCCATGCGCAGAGCTGGTCCCATCGGTCTTCTGTGTAGAGGCACTGGCCATATTGGTTATACGGGCGATCTTCCATTTTTGGACTGAGGGGATATCCATTACAGTAGTAGGTACTGAGGAGAGTACTGGGAATTTTGGGCGCAGTTATGCTATTAGCCAATGACACCCACAAAAGGCACTTTCATCGATACGCACCACTGTGCTTGACAATCCGCAGGTGGCGACAGTTTTGCCAGGCACGTGCCCCAACAGTGTGAATGCCTTCTTCGACGATGACATGGCGTATTCGTGGGGCTGCAAGAAAAGCACTAGGTGGGATGATCCCCGCTTCACTGGCTGGAACTTTAACTGCTTTCGGATAATCCCGATATGCACAGTCCTCTAAGTCCTCTTTTGATTGGAAGATTTCGACGCACTCTCGAACCACGATAGTGAAATGCCTATTCTCTTGCAGGGCGTCCCAAACGCGGTCTTGCAAGTACGCCTGCGTGGTGGGATGGACAAAGTCAAATTCACTGCCAAAGACATCCAGGTCAGAGACAGTGGCTGGGCGATCGACTATGTGCTCTTCAAAGTCTTCGAATCTGTCGGATGCGTGAGGTAAAGAGTACGAATCAGGGGGATGCAGATGCCGCCACACGAGTTAATGATCACCCCTCCCCCCAGGCGACCTCTAGTACCTCCAGCACTGACCATGAATCAGGAGAGTCTAGCAAGCAAAGTGCAACACCGGTCGCGCTCTGTTCGCTTTCTTCTTGGTCGCAACCTGATCTGTAACTCACTCTCAACTCGACTAAGGTGACTTGTGCATAACCTGCACACACAGCGCCTCCACTCGTGCAAAAAAAAAGCAAAGTGCAACACCGGTCCATTTAGAAAAGACCGGGACAAAGCGGCCTGCACCCATCATTACCCAGTTGGAAAGTAAAGATGGCCCAGCGAATCTGGTCAGCGAAGGCGGCTACCCTAGCAGTCGTCCTTCTGCTCCCCCTGCCTCCTCCTCGAGCATGGACCACACACCCCCTACAGAAGCGAAAAGGCGCAACTGGAGGCAAGATGTGCCACAAAGCACAGCCTCTCCGCCCTGTGGAGTTGAACCGGCAACCACATCGCCGAGCAGTCAGTCGAGCCAAGGGGAGCAGGCAGCCTCCAGTGCGGCTGCCGTGCAAGTGACATCACGGCAATCGCCGAGGAAGCCCTGCGCGGTCAAATCGAAAGCTGTCAAACCACGCTCCTGCGCAGAAAGCCAAGCAACTGCCCAGCATCCCCGAGCAGGGCCCACCACAAGCACCACATGCACACTTTCAAGTTCAAACAGGTGTGCACACAGGACTGGTTGGCCTGGCAGCTGCTAGAACAACAGAAGTGGTAGCTGCGGACCCAAAATGCCGGCTCGCACAGGTGATCCTGTTGGGGATTCCCCTGCAAATCGAGGCGATGTTACTGCTGAAATTTACCTCCAAGAGGACGCAGAAGGCAGGGGCAGTTGACACCGACCTTGCACTCTCTGAACAAAGAGCAATGCAGGAAATGCATCGCTTCCAGAAGCTTCCCTGCAGGCGCTGGAGCAACCGGATGGCCTGCCGCACCTCCAACCAGCCTGTATGCCATGCTACCACAGGAGTGGCCACTGGCGCGCATGAGTGTCTGGATGCGGCACGTGGGCGTGCTCTTGCGTGTGACCCTCTGTCGACGTTCGGCTGAATTGAGCTGACTTTTCAGGAACTGCCTCGTGAAGTAGTGCGAGAGGTGCGCCGGGTTGATGGCGTCTGTGGAGCAATAGCAAACCAGTTGGCATCTCTATTCGCCTTCCTTCAACCAGACCAAACAGAGGAAGCGAGATGACCCCACAGGGCTTGCTCTCTATGCAGACGTGGCATTCTGGCGATACGGATTGCTGTCCTTCTGTGCAAAAACCTGCGAGTCCAAAACGACAGAAGTAGGCAGAGTTCCTGCCTTTCGTGCAAAAGAAGAAGGGACTACTCTGGTGCTGGAGACCAGTCGAAATGCCTTGTCACTCATGCAGACCGCAATCAGTACCTAGGCAAATCCGATCTGCCCATCAATCATGCGCACGTCTACTTCCCTGTACAGGTCGTTCACAAGCTCGGAGCGCATGGGTGTTCTGCGCCTCCAAGACGTTCCCCCGGAGAAAGCAAAAGGTATATTTTTTTGCACGAGTCGAGGCGCTGTGTGTGCAGAATATGCACAAGTCACCTTAGGCTAGTAAAAGAGAGAGATACGAACCAAGCAGCAAGCCGAAACCAGACCAGCAAACCACAAACCAACAACGGAGGAAGGCAAAAGGCATAAGCACAACAGTGAAAATGAGACCAACAATTCCTACATCATTGTCCCCTCCAATGAGGGACAGTGTGTCTCCAATGAGTACCCCGACACCTAGTGCCCATGAGCAGGGCATCCTCGACGCAAGTGGTCAGATGGTCTCTTTTCAATCTTCATGTAAGAATTCCTTCCCGCTGGAGGTGCCTGCACTATGTGTGTAGAGGATGCACAAGTCACCTTAGCTAGTAAAAGAGAGAGATACGAACCAAGCAGCAAAACCGGAACCAAAACAAACAACACCCCAACCCACCCAAAAAGGAGCAAGGTTCGTGCTCGCGTCCTTGATGTTTGTTGCAAGCTGCGCCAGGCTTCTGCCCTCATCCCGGTTCCATCATAGCGTCAACGTTCAAATTTCCCTTGCAACGCACTGTTTCGGGTTTTTTGGGGTCACAATCTGGGTTGGGTCGGACCGTCCATTACAGTGCGGGATACCACCTCGGTACCACTTCATTTGCGGCTCGGGCCCTTTGTCACAATGCGCGTGCCGCCTCGATACCGCTCGGGCCCAGGCTGTAATATCGGCGGGCTGAGTCATCGCACTTGCGGCTCCGGTGGCCACGGCGGGGGGTGCATCTAGCTGTTCATTGGCCTGAGAGCAGGAAGAGGCCAGAGGAGGGGGGAGCTTTCTTCTTCTTCTTGGCTGCTGACCGAGACTGGTTGGTCATGAAAGCTTTGCACTGCAGGGGCCCGTGAACCGGTCTCGGAATTTCTGTCGTGTTTTTGAGGCTAAATTTGGCTTCGAGGAAAGAAGCAAGTTATGAGTAGTTTCGAATGTCTGGCATATGTACCCTGCAGCAAAGTTTGATGTGTGAGGAACCATTGGGGTAGTAGGTGTTGGGTGAGTTAGGTGTGGAAGTTACGGGGTTGTGAGGGATGTGTCAAAAGCGCCATCTTTGCCAAGTCACCCACTTCCTTGTCATCTTTTTCAACAGCTGCCCCGTACCTCCTAGACTCCTAACACATGACATGTTGCGAGGTTTTTAGAAGAGACGTGGAGGAGTGAGTTCCCTGTGTTATACAGTAGTATACATTTAAAACAGGGTGGAGGAGTTTTTATTTTGGAGGAAACAAGCGGAGGAGCATTACACTCCTCCACATTTTGTTGTTGTGTTAGAGAGATCATTCCGTTTCACAAACTGGGCAAATTGGCGTACAATGCAACAGGGGGCGCCAAGCATCAGCTTTTGCTGCTGTCGGCTGGGTCTGCACCCTTTTTCCACGAGTGCGGACGCCATGTGGGCGGAGTGCCCAGGTCATCATTGAAGGGAAAGGAAACACAACATGATGAGGGGAAAAGAACACAAGCAACCCCAAAACCAAACAAAAACACCAAACAAAAACACTACCAAAGGCCAGAGGCCGTTTCTCCCATCTAAAAGTGTTTCCTCTGTACCAGGGTGAGACATGTGAGAAAGACTGCGGAATAACTAGGGGCCTGAATTCACTATGAAAGTCGGACGGCATGGTCGGTGCAGGAGCGGAGTGCAGCAAAGCCTATCAAAGGGGCTTCGCCCCACCCACCAAGCTGTGACCAAGAGGCCATTGCATCGAATGGAAAACGATGATCAGGTACTATGACGATGATCAGGTACAATGCAAGGCCTGCATTGTTTGTTGTCAGCCAGTCTGATCCTTGCCCAGGGGAGTCAGTGATTGCGTAGGTAAAAGGGTCACTGAAATGCAATTGTGAGCTTTGCGAGCAAAGCGTTGACCTGTTGTTATTTGAGGTCTTGATTTGCATGGTTGTCACATGTACATGTTTTCAAGTCGCATGTGTCGATTGAGCTTTGTGTCGTGTTTTTAAGCTTCGCATTGCCCGCCCACAGCCACCCTAGCCGCACGCACCTTTCGTAGAAGCATGCGTGAAACCTCACAGAAGGCCAAGCCCTGTGCCTGGTTGAAACCCAGATCCTCGTTCACCCCAGTCACAAAAAGGAGCGACTCGTTTTTTCTTTGTGTGTCAACGCATCCTTGCATTCTTAAGAAACTGAATTAATGACCAACAAATTAAACGTGGAAATCCTGCTTTGCAGATTTCGTTGTTGTATTTTAGCACGATGGGTCAACCAACTGCAGCCGCGGATCTTTCAGCCAGAGTGACAGAAGCAAACCAAAAAGATGTGGTTTCGGTTTAGTCCATTGGTTGTTTTCGCAAGACGCAGTAATGTCTGGCGCATTTACATGCAGTAAACAAAAATCAATCCAATATCATTGAAAGTATCTTTAAGTATACCGCACAGTATACATTCAAAACATTCAGCATTGACATGCAACCCTTGCTCATTCTTGAATGTAGTTCAATCAGCCATGACCAGCTTGTGTTCTTGGCCATGCAGGTGTGGAGCATCATGAAATATATTTTGCAGTGTGCTCTCAAGCTGTCCTGTTGATTTACGAGAGAGAATGGAAGGCGTTGGTGACGGCCAAGGCATGTGGCGGCTACTATTGCTGCAAGGTCTGAAAACAAATCATGTTTCATTCAATTTGTGAACGGTTCATTGAATATGCATGCTGGTGCCATGGAAGAGGGTTGTGCCAAATCTGTTAGGCTGATTGCATGCAAGGAGCCTCTTCTCCTTTTGGTAACCCGCAGCCATTTTCTCAAGCCTTGATGAAACTGAGTACAAGGCACGGCACCTTTAAACACACCAGAGGATAGTACCTCCATTCCACATATGGCGGTTAGGACGTGTGGATCCAAGAACCCGTGGTGGCACATCTGAGCTGTCTCCTTCGCACATTCTGCAGCTGGAGACCTTATGGCGAGCGAGCTGCTCACCAGTGGCGCTCCAGTTGCACATTTTCAAACACAATCATTCACTTTTGCTGCACTTTGGACCTTGTGTGCACTTTGTCCTTTTTTGTGTGGCAGTTTCGCTGAAAGTAACAATTGAGCGAGTGCCATTTCGGTCGCTTTGTCTCCTCCGTGCTACCGTTGTTCCCAATGCACACCCTTGAAGCGAAGGTCTCGACAAAGCTTTGCTCTCGGATGACACGGAACGCCTGCGAATCACGCCAGAGGGAATCCAATGGGTGTCTTGACAAAAGCTTTTGCAGGTCGGAGTATGGATGTGCACATTCGCCTAAAGTCTTGTGACTTGTGTTTTTTCGATGGTCTGACTCTGTGGTGTTCTTTACATTCCTTATGCATTTCTCCCACCATCAGGTGCAACGATGCCTGGACGTGATCGAGGAGCGTTCAAAGCTTATGTAATCGAAGGTCCGGGCGCCGGCTGGGTCACCTTGTAGTCACATGTAGTCACCTCGTTTGGATCAAATCGAGCATTTTCTTTCATGATGTGTTACAACAACACACTGCTCATTCTGGCATCGACATTGTCCAAACTGCTCCTATGCCCAAGCAGCCACATTTCTTTGATTCAAGAGAGAATTACCTAAACGCATGCTCATACAACGTGGCTTGATGAATCACAAGATCAGGGAGGCAGAGAGATGAGTGTTTTATAATTATATGCATGGCACAGGTCTTTTGTTGCCTCTCCCTGCAGGGAATGACAAAATTTAACTTTGTCTTTGGCGTGTCCAACTCGCAGCTTGGACTTTGCTTCAGCTAGGGGAATAGACAAACAGCCTTCACAATCTGGTAACTTTCTGTCACAATGCTTGATTCGCTTTGCTAGGCCAAACTTTTTTTTGTTGTGTGTGGATTGTGTGGATTGAAGAATTGATTCTGAAGATGTGAAGGGTTGGCAGAATTTGTGGCAGGCACAGACACTTTGACAAATATACCAGACTGCAGACTGCAACAGTTCTATTGCCTGCACTGGCCTGCCAAGGCTGATGGTTGCATGGAGTTTCGGTGCGCTTCCTGGTTACTTTTGGATTGCTCCTCGGCTGACCCACGGGCTATACTAATTGAGGCAGACAGGCTTGTTTCTGTTCTGAGCGCTTGAGTAGCTCAAGACTGATCAACGTGTTTGACCCTGACACAACAGGTCTACGTCATTGAGGTTGCTTGGCTTTGTGATTTTGAGCTGGACTTGCCAGAACTTAGGACAGTGCTTTTAGTCAACATGTGGGAAAAATATCACCGGAAGATCTTGCATGTGGCTATCGGATCAACTTTTGTTGCATCACAGCTCCAATGGCCTCCCAAAACAGACCACTAATGAGCTCTAATCGCTATGTCCTTGATCTTTGATGATGTGACGTGTATATGTAGATCATGATGATCCAAACCCGCTTGGGCGCTTGAAGTCACTGAGGTTTTTGTTTTATTGCCAGTCCGCTGGAGCAGAATGATTCAACGCGAACCTAAGGAGCACTTGTAACACATCTGGAAGAGTGATTTGTTCTTTCCCCAAACAGTTTACTGTTGGGCTTCTATCTTAGAAAAAAAGAGCTGGCCACACTCACTGGCCGCGCCCCGGAACTCTGTGGCTGGGCTCTGTGTCCAGGTCTTGTCTTCCTCTTGTGCTCCTCTTGTCCTTCTCTTGTCCTTCTCTTGGCCGCGCCCATAAACTCTGTGGCTGGGCTCCCCTGAACTCTGTGGCCGGGCTCTGTGGCCGGGTCTTGTCCTCCTCTTGTCCTGCTCTTCTCCTGTCTTCTCTTATGGCCGAACAATTAGCGATGTCGATGCCGACAGGGCGTACCAAGAAATCGTTTTCGATTAATATTGTCCCAACGAATCGTGTTAAAACTGTTTGAGGTCTATGCTGGTATAATTGTTTTTCATGCAGGGCTTTATACAAAAAATTGGGACACAGATTTCACCAGTCTCCTTTCATTGATAGAAGCGGAGGACTATGTGACTATGGCACAAATCAATCGATGACATCCGTGATTTAGGATGGGCAAGACGGCAAGACCTGCTACTTGCCCAGGCTGGTTGACCTGCCCAGGTATTGGCTGGACTTCTGCTGGTGTGCCAACTTTGTCGGCGACACTCAGCTCACACATAACGCTCGAAAATGGCCTTGAGGCGTTTTTCTCAGTTTGCACATGGTTTTTGTTTTAGCTCCAAATTTCAATTCTAGTTTACACAAGCCTGTTGTTGAAACCCTAGTGGGTGGCCTTTGTTGGGTTTTGAAATGTGCAGGCTATCGCTAGTAGGTTGGAGGCCATCGATAGTAGGTTGAAAACCATCGCTCTTAGGTCGGAGGCCATGGCTCTTAGGCATCGCTAGTAGGTTGGAGGCCATCGCTAGTAGGTTGAAGGCCATCG